TTGAAAGTAAAATAATCCAGAAACAAGCAAAGGGTTTTGCACTTGACCTTGTTCAAAAGATAGTAAATTAATTAATTTGACTATGTGCAATTCAATTACTCTTTCTACCATGTTAAAATCTTTCAGGATAATCTTTTAGTGCATTAGTTATCTTTTCCAATTCCAAAGGCCTACTTGAGACTACATACATTTGCTATCTGCGATTGCTTAACCTTGCTTGTGACACTGAAAACACATATTTACTAGGTACTCATTACTAATGAACAGTTTAGCAGGGTACAAAAATCTAAGTTGAAAATCATTTTCCTCAAAGCTTTTAAGATTTTTTTTATAAATAAAAAAGCTTTTATTTATGTTTACAGGGGGGAAAAGAGAGAGAAAAAGAGGAAGAGAAACATCAGTATATGACAGAAACATCAATCAGTTGTTTCTTACCCAGCCCCAACCAGGGACTGAACCCACAACTCAGGCCATGTGTCCTGACCAGGAATCAAACTGGTGACCTTTTCCTTTGTTGGACAACACCCAACCATCTGGGTCACACTGGACACGGTATTTCCCTCAAATCTTGTAGAAAACCCTTCTGTCTTCTAGAATCCACTGATGTTGACTAAATCTCATTGAGTAACTTGCTTTCTCCTTTTTAATCTCTGAGGAGCTGCTCCTGATCCTCAGTGCTGCAAGTTCTCACAATACCGTATCTAAATGTGTTTCTGTTTCTCATTCATTGTACTAACATCAAACAGGCTCTTTCAAAATCCACAACCGAGAGGCCTCATATCCGTGAAATCCTGGTCTCCATTGTTCTTCTTTCCATCTTCACAAGCCACTCCCCCAACGTCACACCTTTCCTGATGAGCTTGTCATTACCTGAATCTGCAGTCCCTCTGAACTCTTGACTTCAGCATCTCACTCATCCTCAAATCACCACTTAGGTTCTTCTAGTTCACTTGATCTGTAATTCCTATTTCACTTCTTATACCTTATTGAGATTTGTGATCCATTGTATCCATAATTTTTCACCATATATCAGCTTTCTCTAATCTTTACTTCTCTTATCATTTTAGATTTGGTAGTCCATTATTATAAATACTCTCATAAAAATAGCTGATCTACAATTCTGTTTCAAAACCCCAGCCCTGAGTTTAGTTGCTTTGAGGCTGATAAATCACTGCCAGAAAGAATCGATGAAGGATGACTGGTTTTACTTCAGAATTCAGGATCTCAAACTTCAAAAGAGACTCAACATTGCCTTATTCGTGAGTTTGCTTTCTTATTCTCTAAGACACCAAGGTCATACCTTTTTCTCAAAGTTAGTTTTTCATCAAGCTTCCTTATCTTTCTACCAACAAGTCTACAAAGTCTCCCTGGATCTGCATCCAATCCCTCCCATCACCATAAAGTTACGAAAGCTTGTCCTTCGATCCCCCTGGACACCCAAAATGCCTGCCCCCCCCCAGCTCTGCATCCTACCCCTACTCGTTCTCAAAGACTTGATTGCTTTGTGACCCCTTTCTCCTTCTTGATTATCAGCCTCTCCCACTTAACTCAATCATTTCAGTTAATATTCAAATGTGTTCTAATACTGCTCATTTAAAAATGAAATGAAACATTTCTTCCAGCTACATCTTACTTCTGAATTATTGAGTTTGGCTGTCCAATTCTTTCTGAAAACACTTCATACTTGCACCACTAAATACTCTAAATTTATCCTTGGATTAAGCTGCAGTTTAGATTGTCCGATTTGAGCTCAGATAGAATTATACATAGTAAATTGAGTTTCATCATTATTTTTAATTGTCTACAAAATTTGCTACTCATAAGTTATAACTGCGTAAGTATAATTATAAAGATAAGCTGTAGAGACATTATTGAAGAAGTTGTCTTAGTGACATTCAGAAGAACTGTGTCCTGAACCCTGCATCAGTAAACAGCATTTCCTAAACTGATTTACCTTTTGACATTCTGCAAATTGAAACTAAAATGCTCTCTTGTTTTTAGGCTGTGAGCACCTTACTGGTTGAACAGGGCCCATCTGAGTGCTGATCTTAGGAATCCTTACCTTTATTAACTGCATGCTCTTATTTTCTCTCTCTGTTTCCTTCACTATTTATTTTCTCCTTTCAAATTGTGAAAATTTTTGTAGATTATTTTAAATCCTTTAAGAAACGTGCAGAACAAAGCAAGTACATATAGATGTAGTACAGATGAAGGTTAAAACAGAGCTAGAGAGAAGACAACCAAGAAGAGTATAGACACGGAAAGGGGAAAGAGGGAGGCCAGGAAGAGAAATGGCCATGTTCATTGTGTGAGGTAGTAAGTCACTAGGTGGGTCTGCATCTTAAGAAATGAGCCTGGCAGAAGTACATCACTCATTTAGGCAACAGCACGTTTCTTCTGACACCCCACTGCACTGAATCAGGCAAAGTAATTGACTCCCCTGTAGAAATAGTCTACAATTCTGATTATAAAAATATTTGATCTCATAGAATTTGACCGGTCTTGTTATTTTTAACAAGTCTATAGAGGTAGAATACACAAAAACCTGAACATGTGTACTGTGTGACTTAGTTAATTTAGACCTGCTCACACGTCTGTAAAACTATCACTACAATCAGAGTAGCAGACACCATCTGTCACCTGTTTCACTATTTTCAGTTTAGGACTGTGGAAATCATTTCAAGAATTTTGCTAGTGTCAAGTATTTTTCCTAAATATTCTTACCTTCAAAGCTTTGTTTTTTCAGAATTGACATAACAAACTCTACTAACTCTACTTCCTGAAAATAAAAACCTATTCAGGTGCCCCAGGCACTGCGATTTAATATCTAAGACAATGAGCTTCATGCATTCTTTCCTGTCTGTTTTGCCTGACCTATCCCGAATCAGAAAACTGAACTAAATGTGCTACCATATGGCACACTGTGCTACCACACAGCACACAGATGCCCTGGCTGATTGTCACACTGGTTTTAAAAAGAGGTGAATATGTGTAGCCCAGAGAAAACACTCTCCAAGCTGCAAGGGCAACCCTGTAGAGACACTTGACTGTTTACTAGAGAAGAAATACGTTCTTTGAATATGTAGAGTTTTTCTGTCAACCCAGATTTTTAGACTAAAGATGATGTGCCTTTCACAAAGACGAGAAATGCCAGGCACAGACTGGGCACAGATTACTTCACTGCTTCTCGGGGGTGGATGTCCCAACAGAGCAGTACGGAGCTCTAACACCTGCCTCCACCCCAGGAAGCTGGACTTCCTACACTTCTATCTCCCTTTGTCAACAAGGGCAGTTCCTAAGTAGAATTCTGTGTGTCTCTGAAGCCAAAAAACCACCAGGGAATTGTAACAGCTTCTCTTCAGGTGGCAGGTGACACAGTTCATGTGGTTCCTCACTTGAAAGGTCCTACTCCTACCCCATTATTTAGCCTGTCGCCCACACCACGGCCATGTCAAGAGACTGCCACCTATGCAGATACATGTGACTAAATCAGCTAAATACCCAAATATTTGGTGATGTTTACTTAATAGTAACATAATCATGCCCCCCCCAGGATTGCTCTAAAAGTTACTTTACCTAAAAAAAGGATAAATATAATGCATTGGGACAGAAATAGCCCCATTTTTCACAAAGATTAACTTCTTGCCTTTCTTTAATGACTTCAGTTGCAAATTCATCACACAACCTTGTCACCTGAAGTCGAACAGATGTGCACAGTTTCCCACGGAAATGTTGGCAACAATTTTTGAGTTTAACTAAAGAGGGTAACAAACAGACACGTACCAAAGTGATTCCAGCACCCAAGTGAAGAGTAGACCTAATCGAAACACAATGGTGCCAATATGAAGAAGACGACGATCACGACCAATCACAAAATGCTCCAGACATACATAATCTTCTCGTTCGTCTCAGAATTGCCTTGGATTTCTGGGCCTTAATCTAGAACATCCAGGTGTACCCATGTATATTTCACCAGCCACCAATATGTACACAGAAGCTGTTACGATTTTAGCCACAGAAACACTGACACAGTTTCTAAACCAGGCGTGTATGTTCCTCCTGCCAACAACTCTATTTTTCAAAAAGGACATGTCCTTATTTTGGTATAAATCTTGACTATATAAGAAATGCCCACTAAAATTACAAATGTCTAAAGTAGAAAGTGACAGCCCACTGCACACACTGCGGGGATTTAAAAAGCTGAGGCCAGTGCTCAGCCAAATACGTGTGTGTGTCTGTGGACAGTGTGGGACAAAAGCAGGTCACGGTTGTGAGTACGTGAAATGCAGAGTTTACTCTTGTATCATTTTTTCTTAATTGTATTATTTTCCGCATAAACAATTGTAAACCTACTTCTGCTCCACCCTATATATACATATAGATTCATTCTGCATAACATTCCAGTGTTTCTAAAATTTGTTAAATACTTCCTCAATATTTTACTATATTTCCATGAACGTATAATTAACTTGGTGAGTTTAGTAGGTTTGGTATCCTACATACATCAAAAGATAGTCTTTCAATGAGTAGTTTCAACTGTTATTCTTATGTGAAGCAAGAAAATCAATAAAATGTATTTAAATCTGAAATTCAAACTTTATATAATTAGTACTTTTCATTCTGCTGAGATTAGTCTCAGCGAAAGTCATTCACTTTCACCTTCATTTTTGCCAATGTCCAAAGAAGCACATAAGGAAACACACACTCTTAAAAACTAATTCCAGTTTCTAGTGGGCCCTAAAGCTAGTTCACCATATACCTATCTCAAAAACATTTTTCAATTCTTTAAATTCCTCTCTCAGACGCTCCTCATTCCCATACAAAGATTCATATCGCTAATAAAACAGGATCCTATTTTTGTAGCTTCTATGCCCTCTATAATTAATGCCATGGCCCTTTTCAACATTTAGCTGAACATCACCCTTTGCAGAAATGCTTGAGGTTGATGTAGTGTACTTAATGGAAAATTTCGAAAGCCATAATACCATGGTGTTACTTACGAGAAGTTTTGGAAGCAAGAAGAGTAACTTGGGAACCTCCTAAGAAGCGAAAACCCATTACATTCACCTGATCATCTTCTGACTGATTGGCAAAGCCTATAAAATAAGAAAAAAAAAATCACCTTATATAACTACAAGGCAAAATACTTAACAACTGAAATAGGAAGCTTAGCTGATGAAATATTTTCATGTCACTAGTTATGTCTATATCCCATGTATGAGCCATATTAACTGCTTTCCATACTAGCTTCTAAGTGCTGAGACTTCTGCCCCACAAAGACCCTCTGAAGTCCTACGCTTACCTACGCTTTCCCTAGAATGCGGAAATGGGCCCTGTGATCGAAAGCATGAGTTTTCGTTCAGTCTCTATGGGTCTCATCCATGTGCAGTAAACATCAACCACTCAGAAGCTAGAGTCTTAAACACTTTTCAAAGGCACCAATAAATTTGGTGTACAACATATAATTTCCCACTAAGTTCCCAGGATAGTATAGGAGATCCATGGAATTAATACATTTATATGAGATGTTAGAAAGGTAATGACTCTTTCTGCCTTTTTTATAATCCAAGTCTGTCATAAGAAAATTGACTGAGAAGGAAGGAAAGGGGAAAACCAAAGGGTACAAAACTATTTGCTAAAAACATATATGTGTGTGTGTGTGTGTATCTCCAAATTCAATTCAAACTAAATAAATCAACTGTAATAAAAAGCATTCCACTTTGAAGGCTTTTTGGAGTTATACATAAATAAAGCTTTTTAAACACTTCAAATTAATGGAAAATAAATGTTAAGTACTTTAAGTACTTAATAAGAGAAAAGCTAACTCACTATAAATTGCTAAACCTCATGGGAAACACCCTTTGTGTTCTAAATCCCCCCCCCCCACCAACGCGAGGGCAAGGATGCGTCGCACAGTCAACAGAGACTATTTTTGATGAGGGATTTCATAGGGCTGATTTAATTCCCAGATTTGTTTCTTTAATTCCACCCCATCGCCAAGAAAGTAAATAGGACACATCAGACACCCTGGTTACTGAAGATGTTTTGACCAATCGGCACCTTTTTTCCAAGCTACTCAGAAAGAAAAAACTGACACCTGGAGAAAGTCACACCTTCACAAATTACCCCAAAGGTTCAAGGGGATATTGAAGCTTTATATACGAAGCCCCTTCCACACGATCAGAGCCCGAGAATGAACATTCGCCACCTCCAGCTGCTGCCCACAGCAGGGCCAGAGAGAGAGCGCCTTACTTAACCGACTACTTTTCGGGGCATAACACTATACTTTGAAAAGGTGCACAGCCAAAAACCTACAATGAAAATGAATAATAAATATTTACACAGTAAGCCAAAAAATTCCACAGTATAAGAAGAAATATTTGATGTTTTCATTTCTGAACACTGAAGCAAAATAATGATTATACTAATTTTAATCAAACTTAAAAGGTGCACCTTATTACCTTGTTGATATAAGCTATTTGCCTTTGAACAGGCAAAGAAAAAATCCTGGAGGCATTTTTATATTCTGACTTAACAATTATCTGATAATTACCCCATCATTACCTGCTGACGAAGGATTCCTTTCTAAATTCTTAACATTTCTGATATTATAGGCATGTTACTTCAAAAGTCCTACCTGGAAAGAGACTGAGAAGGCTGACTGGAGATTTGTTGGTATCAACAGTCAGTTTGTGGCTTGCGATTTTTGAAGGTTGACCTGGTAGGCAGACTAATTTCAGGGGAAGCCTAAATTTACATTGGCTAACTCGAGGAATGCCTGAAATAAAAAGAAAAAAAATGCAGAGTCATAGATTTGACAAATAATTTGATAAAAAGAAGTCTGACTAATAGCATACCTCAGTTTAAAAGTTTGCTGCCTGCCCATTTTGTCTAGCAATAACTGAAATAACAGCACATTATCGTAATTCACATTTTTACATTATTGTCAAAAAGTATAAAGCAATACTGGGGAAATCACTCTGTAAGTTATAGAAATGTCTAACCACTATGCCGTACACCTGAAACTAATATAATATTGAATGTCAACTGTAATTTAAGAATTAAAAATAAAGAGTATTGCAGAATTTAAGTGAAATGCGAAAATAAAATGTTAAAAATGAACACGGGCATGAGATCTGCTTTTAACGGTAATGCCATATTTTAAAAGTAATCAGCTAAACCTATATGAATACTTATAGCCAATTACTGAGCAATCTTTAAACTAAGACCTTCAAAGTTCTAGGTCTAACTTAAGACTATCAACTAAAATGAGCAATGAACCTGAAATTTACATCAGAAAGACTCTATATGACCATATCTAACAAAAGTTTTTTAATCTTTACCTTTTTTACTTATTAAAAATCCAAGTTACAATTAACCATTTGCAATAAATTACAAGTATGAATTTGCTCTACCTAAGTTCTACTGAAGTTCATGACTTTTCTATTAATATTAAGAATATGGCTTTCTGCTGGTGGATGCCACTGAGTCAGCATCGTTGAAGTTCTCTCTTCTGCAGCTGTCATGTCTAAGTCAGAGTCTCCCAAAGAGCCGGAACAGCTCCGGAAGCTCTTTATCGGAGATTTGAGCTTTGAAACAACAGATGAGAGTCTGAGGAGCCACTTTGAGCAATGGGGAACGCTCACAGACTGTGTGGTGATGAGAGAGCCAAGCACCAAGCGTTCGAGAGGCTTTGGGTTTGTCACCTATGCCACTGTGCAGGAGGTGGATGCAGCCAGGAATGCCAGGCCACACAAGGTGGATGGAAGAGTTGTGGAACCAAAGACCAGGTGCCCACTTAACTGTGAAAAAGACTTTTGTTGGTGGTATTAAAGAAGACACTGAAGAACATCACCTAAGAGATTATTTTGAACAGTATGGGAAAACTGAAGTTATTGAAATCATGACTGACCGAGGCAGTGGCAAAAAAGAGAGGCTTCACTTTGTAACTTTTGGTGACCATGACTCTGTTGACAAAATTGTCATTCAGAAATACCATACTGTAAATGGTCACAACTGTGAAGTAAGAAAAGCCCTATCTAAGCAAGAGATGGCTAGTGCTTCATCTAGCCAAAGAGGTCGAAGTGGTTCTGGAAACTTCGGAGGTGGTCGTGGAGGTGGTTTTGGTGGGAATGACAATTTTAGTCGTGGAGGAAACTTCAGCGGTCGAGGTGGCTTTGGTGGTAGCCGTGGTGGTGGTGGTGGATATGGTGACAGTGGGGATGGCTATAATGGATTTGGTAATGATGGAAGCAACTTTGGAGGTGGTGGAAGCTACAATGATTTTGGCAATTACAACAATCAGTCTTCAAATTTTGGACCCATGAAAGGTGGAAACTTTGGAGGCAGGAGCTCTGGCCCCTATGGTGGTGGAGGCCAATACTTTGCCAAACCACGAAACCAAGGTGGCTATGGTGGTTCCAGCAGCAGTAGTAGCAATGGCAGTGGCAGAAGGTTTTAATTATGCCAGGAAACAAAGCTTAGCAGGAGAGGAGAGCCAGAGAAGTGACAGGGAAGCTACAGGTTACAACAGATTTGTGAACTCAGCCAAGCACAGTGGTGGCAGGGCCTGGCTGCTACAAAGAAGACATGTTTTAGACAATACTCATGTGAATGGGCAAAAAACTGGAGGACTGTACTTGTGACTAATTGTGTAACAGGTTATTTTAGTTTCTGTTCTGTGGAAAGTGTAAAGCATTCCAACAAAGGGTTTTTAATGTAGTTTTTTTTTCCTTTTTGCACCCATGCTGTTGATTGCTAAATGTAATAGTCTGATCATGACGCTGAATAAATGTGTCTTTTTTTTTTTAAAGGTGCTGTGTAAATTAGTCTACTCTGAAGCCATCTTGGTAAATTACTCCAACAGTGTGAAGTTAGAATTCCTTCAGGGTGATGCCAGATTCCATTTGAAATTTATTTACAACCTGCTTGGGCACATAATACCATTGTCTTCAGAAACCTTGGTGTAGTTGAATTGATAAGCTACTGTGTTGTGACCTGGAGTTCACCATTAAAAGGGTCACCCAAGCAGAGTCATGGAGTTTATTTGGTTACTAATGGTTGTTGGCACATCCTATGCTGTATACTAAATTGAATTATGGTACCAGATAAAATTACAGATGGGAATGAAGTTTGTGTATCATCCATTATCATGTGCAATCAATAAACGATTTAATATCCTCTTGAAAAAAAAAAGAATATGACTTTCATATGAACTAAGTTTTTCTCAATCCACTTAATTTTACGCATATATATATATGTGTGTGTGTGTGTGTGTGTGTGTGTGTGTAAAGGGTGTGTGTGTGTATGTATATATGTGTGTATATATATATATACATATAGATTTATATTGAATATTTTTTCTTTTGTTGTTCAAGTATAGTTGTCTCCATGTTCTCCCCACCACTGTCCCCCACCTCCCACCCTCAATCCTACCCCCATTGGCTTTGTCCATGGTCTTTTATACATGTTCCTTGATGACCCTTTCCCTTCTTGCCCCCATTATCCTCCTCCTCCCTATCCTCTCGTTACTGTCAGTTTGTTCTTCATTTCAATGCCTCTGGCTATATTTTGCTTGCTTGTTTTTGTTTATTGATTAGGTTGTACTTATAAGTGAGATCACATGGTATTTCTTTTTCACCACCTGGATTATTTCACTTAGTATAATACTCTCCCCAGTTCCATCCATGCTGTTGCAAGGGTGGGAGCTCCTTCTTTCTTTCTGCTACATAGTATTCCTTCATGTAAATGTATCACAATTTTTTAAATAATATATTTTATTGATTATGCCATTACAGTTGTCCTATTTCCCCACCTTCGTTCCCCTCCACCCTGCACAGCCCCTCCCACCCCTTCCCCCACTTTAATTCATGTTCATGTGTCATAAGTTCTTTAGCTTCTACATTTCCCACATTACTCTTGCCCTCCCCCAAGTTCTGCCCACCATCTATGCTACTTATTCTCTGTACCTTCTCCCCCTCTCTCCTCCTCCCCCTCCTTTGTTGCTAACCCTCCATGTGATCTCCATTTCTGTGGTTCTGTTCCTGTTCTAGTTGTTCGCTTAGTCTGTTTTTGTTTTTGTTTTAGGTGTGGTTGTTAGTGAGTTTGCTGTCCTTTCACTGTTCATATTTTTATCTTCATTTTCTTAGATAAGTCCCTTTAACATTTCATATAATAAGAGCTTGGTGATGATGAACTACTTGAGCTTGACCTTATCTGAGAAGCACTTTATCTGCCCTTCCATTCTAAATGAAATCTTTGCTGGATAGAGCAATCTTGGATGTGTGTCCTCGCCTTTCATTACTTGGAATACTTCTTTCCAGCCCCATCTTGCCTGTAAGATCTCTTTTGAGGAATCAGCTGACAGTCTGATGGGAACTCCTTTGTGGGTGACTGTCCCCTTATCTCTTGCTGCTTCTAGGATTCTCTCCTTCATTTTAAACTTGGCTAATATAATTATGATGTGCCTTGGTGTGTTCTTCCTTGGGTCCAACTTCTTTGGGACTCTTGAGCTTCCTGGACTTCCTGGAAGTCTATTTCCTTTGCCAGCTTGAGGAAGTTCTCCGTATTTGTTCAAATAAGTTTTCCAGTTGTTGCTCTTCCTCTTCCCCTTCTGGCACCCCTATAATTCAGATGTTGGAACGTTTAAAGATGTCCTGGAGGTTCCTAAGCCTCTCCCCGTTTTTTGAATTCTTCTTTCTTCATCCTTTTCTGTTTGGTCATTTTTTTTCTTCCTTCTGGTCCACTCCTTTGATTTGAGTCTCAGTTTCCTTCCCATTACTATTGGTTTCCTGTGCATTTTCCTTCATTTCACTTAGCGTAGCCTTCATTTTTTCATATAATTTGTGACCAAAATCAACCAGTTCTGTGAGCATCCTGATCACCAGTGCTTTGAACTGTGCATCTGATAGATTGGCTATCTCTTGGTCGCTTAAAAGAAATGGCTCTGGGGCTTTGATTTGTTCTTCTGTTTGAGCCAAAATGTTTTGGTCTGTTCATGCCTGTTACGTATGAGGGGCAAAAGCTTAGGTGTTCACTGGGGTGGGTCAACCCAGTCGCTGGGTTGTGACTGGGGGCGGGGTCAGAGGGGGAGCAATGGTGTTTGTTCCACTCTTTTTCAGATTTCGGTCCCCTCTGCTGCTTCCCACAAGCAAACTGGGCCCTTCTGGTGCTGTTCCCAGGTGGGTGGGATTGTGTACATTCTAGGACCCTGTGGGTCTCTCCAACAAACTCTCCTGTGAGGCTGAGAGCCTCTCCCAGCACCTCAACCCCCCCCCCCCAAAGTTCTTCCAGTCAGTGCTTTTAGGCTTTATTTCCCATCACTGGGGCCCTGGGTTACATAGTCTGTCTTGCTGCCCAATTTTGCCTGGTTTATCTGTGCTCAAATGTGTAACCACAGTCAGCCAACCACCTTGCAATGACTCACTGAGTCTGCTTGTTTCCTTCCTGCACGAAGGTCTGCTAACCCCGCACTGCCTGCACACCGGGTCAATCTGGCAGCCACTGCCTTTTCCTGACCAGACCCCTCCCCCTCTCTCCCGGCTGCCAACTCCGCCCCTCTTATAAGTCTGGATGAGTGGTTGTCGGACTTCCGTACAGTTCAATTTTCTGTCTGTTCTGGTTGTGGTTTTGTTTCTAAATCTTTGTTGTCCTTAATTTTGGTTGTGCAAGGAGGCACAATTTTTCCACCTACACCTCCATCTTGGCCGGAAGTCTCTGTACCACAATTATCTGATCCACTCATTTACTGATGGGTACTTAGGTTGCTTCCAGAACTTGGCTATTGTAAATTATGCTGCTATGAACAATGGGGTGCATAGGTTCTTTTGGATTCATGTTTCAGGGCTCTTATGGTATAATCCCAGCAGTGGAACTGCCAGGTCAAAAGGTGGTTCAGTTTTTAGTTTTTGAGGAAGTTCCATACTGTTTTCCACAGTGGCTGTACCAGTCTGCATTCCCACCAACAGTGTACTACAGTTCCCTTTTCTCTACAATCTCGCCAGCATTTGTTTGTTGATTTGTTTATGGTGGCCATTCTGATATGTGTGAAGTAGTTTCTCATTGTGGTTTTAATCTGCATCTCTCTGCTGACGAGTGATGCTGAGCATCCTTTCATATGTCTCTTGGACCTCTGTATGTCCTGCTTGAAGAAGTGTCTGTTCAGGGCCTTTGCCCATTTTTTTCATTGGATTGTTTGTCTTCCTGGAGTGGAGCCATGTGAGTTCTTTATACATTTTGGAGACCAAATCCTTGTCCAAGGTTATCATTGGGAAATATATTTTCCCATATGGTTGGTTCCCTTTTCATTTAGCTGTTTTTCTTTAGCCATGCAGAAGCTTTTTATTTTAATGAAGTCCCAATTGTTTATTCTTTCCTTTATGTCCCTTGCTCTAGGGGACATAACAGTGAAAATATTGTTGTGTGGAATATCTGAAATTTTCCTGTCTATGTTCTCCTCTAGGACTTTAATGGGGTTGTGACTTATAGCTAAGTCTTTTGCCCATCTTCAGTTTATTTTTGTGTATGGTGTAAGTTGGTGGTCAAGTTTCTATTTTTTTTTTTTTTGCATGTAGCTGTCCAGATCTCCCAACACCATTTCATTTCCTTCATTTTTAATAAACAGAATAACAGGAGAAACCCCTTCATCTTCTCGTAGTTTCACATATGCACAAAAATAAGCTATTTTCTATGTACGTTGAACCAAAAGTCTGAGCTAATTGTTCAAACAAAATTTGGGTGTAAATGTTCTTCTAAAACTATGTGGCTGAAACTATGGCTCTATTTCACTTGGACCAGGTACTGATTGAATCTGTGGTAAGAAATAATAATACTAATTAATCATGATCAACACTTGTTTTATGTTAGTGAGTCTATATTTAAAGATTGCTAGCAAATCTCTAAGACCCCGGAGCTAAAGAAACTGATGGTATATACATGTTCTCAGAAGCTGAAACAAACAGATTACAAGCACTAACTAACCAAACAAGGGAAACATATTATAACTCAATTCACAGCTCCACTGGGTCAATTAACAACAGTATCACACATTTGGGCAATGGTCTGAATTGCTCAGATTCATGGGACCCCTCCAGAACTTCTTTTTTTCTCCAAGAATTGTAAACCTGTTTCATGAGACATTTGGAAAACATTATTTTGAAAAATGATGACACTCATACTTAATAAAATGATTATGGCTATTTTTTAAATCATGGCAGCTTGAAAAGTTTTACCACGAGGAGGGAAAATACGAAATCCCTTAGAAACCAGTTTAAAGAAACCGTACCTTTAGAAAGAAAAATCACAATGCAAGTATTTATATTACTTCCCAGCAAATTAAAACCCAAGCATTTCAAAATACAATCTCTAGCATTTAGTCCTGGGCTTTATCAGAGAGGCACATGTCTATTGAGATTTACGTTTTCTTGAGAATTTTGAAATGTAAATTTGGCTATCAGTTACTCTTCAGGCTATGATGGTGTCTGATACCTGAAGCCAGAGACACTTGGAGGTACATGTGAGGGTGTACATGTGTGTGCCTGTATAATGAAGGAATTACATGCATTTAAAGACTTTCCAACTAGCTTTCAACTGAGCTGAAAACAACTTCATTGGTCCTAACTTTGCTGACCATCAGCAATATTTTCTCTACATAGTTGGAAAGAAGGCTTATTCAACTCTGAATGTTACGCTGAAAGAAAAGAAATTTTCGGTCATTTATAATACCCACATATTGGCCTACTCATTCATCAGCCTGACTGGGCTGCAGTTTTTACCAAATACAATCACCTCTCCTTCAAACACTTTCCTCTCCAGCCTGCTAGTGGAAATGGATAGTCCCATCGACAATATTGCCATTAATCACAAAATTATTTAACACTTAGAGAGAAAATTCACATCAAAACCACTCCTGACACAATGATTTTTCCAGGAAGGGAATTCTAATCACACCTGGCACAGCCAAGAGCCCAACGTCACTGTCAAAAGGGAAGCCAAAATGTACTTTAAATGAGACGGGCAAAGAACACAGGTCTCAGAGTAGAATAACTATGTGTACATTGTACACTTCTCTATTATGCCTGTCGAACTCCTTCCAGGGCCTGCTAGAGTCATTTGGTACTTGAAAACATGGGACCTGAGGCAGGACCAATGTCTGGGAGCCAGAACTTCCTTGATCCCTTCCTGTTATGTCTGGCTCCGTACTGTGCTCCACCCGCACTGGTGTTTTACACTGCCCGTGTCATGTGACTGCAGTGCACGAATAACGGAGACCAACTCCTGTGGGACAGCAGAAAACCTCGTCTGCTTCTTCCTTTCCACATGTAAAAGCAAGAGCGCTTATCCACGATGCAGCCTGAACAGGTCAGGACAATAAAATGGACCGGGCTTTGAAATCTGAAGCCTGGTGTGCACAGTGAGAGCTGTATGGCAACGTACTATTTCCTTGCCTATTAGAAGAAGCTGAGTATTTCAACTCTACTCCCTAAAGCTTAATTGTAATTTTAAAATATATCATACGAGAGTATTAAAACCAGCTTCAGCTCTGCACTAAAATACTATAATTTCCATATATTGTGATTTTTTCCCTAGTGTTTGGGACTGAATTTACAGCAAGAGGGAATAAATTACTTTGAATAATAACCTTTACTTATTTTGTTAAACTTAAGACAATCATTTAAATACACAGTATTTTACAAAAGTTAGTGCAGATCTTATCTGTTACATGCAATCTTGCAAAGTAAAATATAAATATTCATTATTAGTAATGGGCTTTTTAATAACCCTAATTCTGATTTGACAAGTTTACCTTAGGTTATTAAGCTAATCATGTACTTCTATTAAAATATTTCTCACTAAGTACATTTTCACCTCCAAAATACTATGTAACAGGTTGCTGGCATCACCAAAACTGTGTGAGTAAATACTGCCATTAAGTATTTCATATAGTTATTACTAGTTAACACTGTTATGTAATATTTATCTTAAAATAGCTAATACTAAGGTAAACCACCAAATAAAGTCTATGTACAGGAGGAAAATAATCAAATTAGATTATTCCTTTATAGCTCTTGTCATTTACCCTAATATTTTATAATTCAAACATGAGTGGTTGAACTCTGCCCTCAAAGAGCTCAAAACTGACTAGAGGAACCTAAGGAACAAACTTAGTGACATTCATATTATGATAAGGATTATAGTACAGTGATAAACAAAGGTTTTGGGGCATACAGAATGGGTAACAATACTGACCCAGCAAGTTCAAGGGGTCAGACCTGGGATGCCATTGCCCCATAAATCCTGAACAGAACAAGGAGCAGGCCCACAGAATGAGTGCGCAGGCCATTCTGATCAGAGATGAAGGCGCCCCACTGGGGCACATGGAAAACAAACAGGTTAGCATTCAGTGGCAAACATCTTTTGTTCCTTTCTATTTCTTTATTTTAGTAAAACACCAATGACTCACAGAAATAACTTGTCAATGACACATGGGTTTTTTTTTTTAAAGAGTCAAGGAGCTTAACTCTTTTCCATGATTCTGAAACAACTAATCTGAATGACAAGACTCTAGGAAAGAAGACTGTAGTACACCCTTGGTAGCTAGATCGGGGAACTGAATCATCCTGAAGGGGTTTTCACAGTGAAAACAGTCCATAAAATGAGTTAATTCATGGCTTAATACCCATTCAATTCCCTGACCACACTTCAGTTCAGAAAGTCGTTTTGTTATCAATTATCTTCTTACCTTCAGGATTTCGATCTATCCACCAGAAGCAATGCAAAGAGGGTGAGGGGAGAAACAATGCAACAAATGGTCAGTGATAAAATTACAACAAATATTTAATGCATATCTGCAAAAAATATGAATAAAAATTTTAAAGATTCTCACTGATTTAAATGGCTCTCCAATAAAATTAGTTAAGTAAAACATGAATAAATGAAACCTAATAATATAGCTATACTTCCATTCCCAAAGTTCATGAGAGTGTATTATTCCAGCATAAATATTGCAGAAAGAGGTAAAGATATATGATCCAGCCAAAGAGCAAACCAAACTCAATAACTAAATGGCACTGAGAGCATAAAATGAACTGTTGGGGAAAAAAGTTGAGTGAAAGGCCAAGTACATAATAATATTAATATTTCCAATTAGTCATCTCATAATTCCAGTCAGTAGATACTACTATGGGAAAATGTCTCTTCTTCTCTTGGCAGTATTTACATTTATGGACTTCTTTTACTTTAATTTCTAACTAACTTTCAGCCAATTAATACTATGCTCTGTGGTTTAGCAGTAATTTGTAATTTTTTTAAATTCTGGCTATAGAAAAGCATAACAGCCAAAAGCAGTCTGTGCAATAATGAGCTCACAGACTTATGTTACAACTTTCTAATGTGCTTTTCAGCATTTTATCCATTTGGTATGTAACCCATTTCTCTATCTTAAATTTATTTTCAAACAGTATCATTACTTTTCCAAAACAACTCATTGTATTAAGACATCAAAAGTCTCTACAACTGCATATTCAAAGTGTAACTAGGTAAAAAAGTATAACAATGCCTATGATTATTATTGAGATGCTTGATTAATATCAATAATCTAGATATTTTAGTCAAATATATCTCACTTTTTAGTTCACAATTCAAAATAATATTGAAATGTCAATGTTCTTTTCAGAAATAGCTCACTAAAAGCCCATCGGTCCTTGATCCCTTAAAGTTTTCTATTTCCTTCTGAAGGCAGTTTTCTCAAAGCCATTTAAACATAAAGTATTTATATAACCCCAAATTTTGAAAATAACGTAAATGGTTAAAGTGGTCACTTCTGGCTAAAAATGAATTTTTCAACAATTTGAAGCAAAATAACTTACAAAGCAGAAGAAACAGATTTTCAAAACATGTACAAAAGTTATAAAATCATCTCAGAGCAAAGAACTGTCAATGCATAAGCCTGAAAATTCACACAGACAAAACAAAAACTACAATTATTAAAAACATTGGCAAAGGATTTAGACTTCCAGTCAAGATGGAGGCACAGTAAACACGGCTCGACTCCTCATACAACCTCAGCAAAAATTACGATCACCCAGAATCATCAGAAAATCGAGCTGCAGGAAGTCTGACAACCAAGGAATCAAAGATGCATCTTCATCCAGACGGGTAGGAGGACCACAGATGTGGAGACATGTATCGATGTGGAAAGCAATAAAATACACATTTTAAAAAACATTGCTCCCTGGCCTGTGTGGCACAATGGATTGAATGCTGGCCTGCGAACCAAAGGGTCACTGGTTCAATTCCCAGTCAGGGCACATGCCTGGGATCTGGGCCAGGTCCCCAGTGGGGGACAGGCAAGAGGCAACCACACACTGAGGTTTCTCTCTCTTTCTCCCTCCCTTTCCCTCTCTTTAAAAATAAATAAATAAAATCTTAAAAAAAAAACATTGCTAAAATAAGATGAGCAAAGTGGGCATTAATAGAGGGGAAAAAACTAAGAAAATTATATAGAAATGCTTTTTAAAAAGGAACATTACTGAAATATCTTATTATCAGTTACACAACATGAAAACATTTTTTAAAGCACTGACAAATTATTCTTATTCAACCAATCAACTTACTGTCAAACTGTTACCACAAAAAACTCATTACACATGAAAAAAATATTAAAAATTGACCCAATTAAGTTGAAACTGGTAATAATTGAATCTCAGCTGCACTAATGATAACCTTTCCCCCACCTTTTTCCAGCTTTATTGAGATATTATTGACATACATGTCAGTTTAAAGTACAGCATCTGATGATTTGACATGTGTTTATACTGCAAAAAGACCACCACAACCAGGGTAGCTAACGCCTCTGTCTGCTCACATAAGCACCACTTCAGGTGGCACTTATCGGGTGCTGGGGCACCCAATGGCACCACATTGGGCCCCCAGCACTCACTCACCCCAGACCTGAAGTGGGCGGGTGCCCTCTGACCAACACTTTCCCATTTCACACACCTCCTCGACCCTTGGCACCCATCATTTTATTAAGGATAACCTTCTTAATCTAAAGAGGCTTTTTTTGCCCTGGCTGGTGTAGCTCAGTGGATTGAGTGTGGGCTGCAAACCAAAGGGTTGCCAGTTTGATTCCCAGTCAGGGCACATGCCTGGGTTGCAGGCCAGGTCCCCAGAGGGGGCCACATAAGAAGCAACCACAGATGGATGTTTCTCTCCCTCTCTTTCTCCCTCCCCCTCTCTCTCAAAGTAAATAAATAAATAAATAATTTAAAGAGGCTTCTTAGAAAAAGTACAAATCACATTTTAGTAGATCTGTTCATAAATATTTTAACATGTAAGACACTAAAGAGTATTAGTCACTAATACTGAATACTTCCCTAATGTTGGAGTAACCCACAATGGTTTTTTCACTTATTCAGACCAGGCTTTTCTCTTTAGTTCAAACAGGTGAAGTCTGACTAGATATCATTCTTCTAGTGAGACTACAAATAACTGAAAAGATAGAGTCGAGCAACAGGTGTAGATATCAGCTAAATACTTATCACTAATTATGTGTAACATGAAATTAATTTGGACATATAATTTATTTAACACTAGAAAATAATGTTTTTTCATTTAACAATATTTTACAATGTGTTTTCCCATTTTAACACTTAAACATTTAACTCATAATCCAACAAGTGCAAAGGAGTGTTTGATTAACCTTGTAAATTCCTGAACAGCTGTATGTTTACCTGTTGGTCTGGAATAGGAAACAACAGCACTTCCTTCCAACTCAGGTGGCACAAAACTTCCTTTCAGATAAACAGAAAAGGCTACTGTTCTAGTCGTCTCTGGTGCTGTGAGCAACGTGAAAGTAACATAAGTTACATCATTTTGGACAGTGACTATTACCAACAGCTAAAATGGGGCATATGCTGCATGCCAGCTACTGTCATAGCACTTTACATGGAATCATTCACTTCATCCTCACAACAACCCTGTAAGGAAGGTGGTACTACTGGCCCCATTTCTTTCTCTCCTTTTTGCCCCCAGGAGAAATCTGGCTATAGAGAGAAAACGAGGCTTGCCCCAGGTCACACAGCAAACACACAGCTAGGAACCGACTCCAAGACAAGGTGCCTGACATCCCACCCCAGTGCTTCCCATTACTCAGAGGAAGAGGCAGTGTGAGCAGGGACAAGGCACGTAAAAGGGCGAGAGACCCTTGGAGTGAGGGGCAGTGCTTTATCAGGGTCAGCACCCAGACTGCAGGGGAAATCGCAGGTGGGGCTGAACACAGACGTAACTACAACTGCACAGACTCGGCAGTGTGCACAGCCTTCGCAGTCAAGGGTTTGACCTCCGACCTGCGTTAGAGAGCCAAAAGAGGTCTTTCACTGGAAAGATAAGTTTTTCAGAATGTTTTTCAGATATGTTTTAAAAAGATCCATTGGAAGTACTGTGAAAAATTAGAAAATAAAGTGAGAAACCAATGGTTGGATATCATCTCCAAGGTTGGATATCACTTCCAGCCATTCCTTCAATTGGCCAATGAGTGTTTATTGAGTGCCCACTACCAGCCAGGCACTTAGCTAAGGGTTGGTTATACAAAGGCAAAACAGAGAGATGTTCCTGATTCATGAGTAAAACACAGGATCCCCTGCTGAACAGCAGCAGTAAAGAAAAAGGCTTAAAACTATTTTAGAAATCACTTCAGCAGGACCAGTGACAACTCAGATGTAAGTGGTAAGGGATAAGAGATTCTAAGCAAAGAATACGAGTTGCCATTTACAACACGTCTACTATTTTAGGTATTACTGCAGATATATTACATAGATTCATTTTTAACTGAATCCTCAAAGCAGCCATTACTTGTCTTACAAGAAAGACACCCTTATCCCCTTTCTGCAGATTTAAAAAAACTGAGGCTCCGAGTCATTGCAAAGGGAGCGTGCCCAAGGTTACACACAGAGCGAGAGTCAGGGCCAGGATTCAAATTCAGGCCAGACTCCAAAGTCAATATTCTTTCTTCAAACATCACTGATTCAATAACGAGCTCACTAGAGAAACACCAATAAAGAGCGCCTTCCCAATTATAGTGTTTAAGTACAATTACAGGCCCATCTAGCTAAGGAAAGCACATGGAAATCTGTAATTACTTCAGACTCAACAACCATTCATTGAATATCCATGCTTGATGTTCAGAGGGAAAACTCTATGAGCAAAACAACGCAAGCATTAATTTCAGGAAGATACCACTCTCATGATTCAGACAAGAAATATAGCCATGAAATAAATACACTAATAAAAAGTTCTTTTAATTAAAAAAGCCCTCACACCTTGCTAGACTTTAGGCCAAAATAAAACACTTACCCATCAACTCAAAAGTGAACCGGTCACATGACAGGACTAGAGGTAGTGGCACATAGACGGATAACTTGGCTCCTTGTACGGCCACGCGGGTCTGCAGTGCAACCTAGGAGGCAGGCATTGATATCAAGTGAAAATTACATTCTACCCAAATTAATAAATATCTCACCTACCTAAGAAAATCACTAGCAAATAATTAGCAAACATCATCTGAGAAAAAATTAGTAGCCACAAAACATAACATGTAATGTAAGTAGCAGATTAAATGTCCCACCCAGTTAGAGACTGGGCAAAGGAGGTGAACAGATGTCCCTCTAAGGAAGATACAGGAAAGGCCAAAAAGCACATGAAAACATGCTTAATGTCTTTAATCACTATGAAGAACAAATTAAAACCACAATCAGATACCACTACACAGCCACTAAAATGTTATCATCAAAAGGATTGACAAAAACAGGTACCAAAAAGAATAAAGAAACTAAAACTCTTATATACTACTGATAGGAATGTAAAATAGTACAGCCATACAAAAAACTTTGACACTTTCTTTAAAAATTAAACAGCAATTTACCATACAATCTCACAACCCCATGCCAAAAGAAATGAAAACATATTTCCACACAAGAACTTATACACACAAGAAATGTTAAAACTAGCATTATTCATAATAGCTAAAATTAGAAAAAAACCCAAATGTCCACTGACTAACTGATGAATGGGTAAGTAAAATACAGTACATCCACACAATGAAATACTATTCGGTAACAAAAAGAAATGAAATGCAGACACCTGTTACAACCTATGCAAACCTTAAAAGCAGCAGCTAACTAAAAGAAGCCAGTCACAGAGAAATACATGTATGATTCCATTTATACGAAGGGTCCAGAACAGGCAAATCTATGCAAACAGAAAACAGACTTTCAGTTGCTGACAAATGCAGTTGGGGGTGTGAGTGGGAGGATGCATGAGAGGAAGGAAACAGGAGGCAACGGCTAATGGATGCGGGGCTGTTTTTAGGGGGATGAAAATGTTCTAAAGTGAAGTTGTGGTGCTGGTCCACGACTCTGCAAATATGCTAAAAAACACTGAATTACACACTCTAAACGAGTAACTGTTAAGGTATGTGAAGTATATCCCCGTGAAACTATTAAAGTGCTCTATCCTTATCCTTATATAACTTTGTACATTATATAAATGTCTAATACTAGGTTGTACACCTGAAACTAATGTAATATTGTATGTCGACATAATTGAGAAATTGTTTTAATTTACAAATTTTTTTATTTTAACTTTAAAATGTTCTATCAAAAGAAAAATCTGCCATCAGTGACTGATAAAATAATTACATCATGAAATGTGATGTGTTCATTCTGCTTTTCATACACAGATGTGGCATGATGAATTATTTATCTTATCCAGTACAAGTATATTACCTCATACACAGGTCATTTATACTTTAAAGATCTCCTTACTAGGTGGACATTTACTAGCTTAGATACATAGCAAAGCACTCTATTTTCTTCCATGGCTTACCACAAAAATATCTGACATAAATAGTCCTAGAAAAATATCAAAGAATGGCAATATTCACTGCCGCATATCTAAGCTGGCTGGATTTCCAAACCGCTGCTCTTGGTTGACGCTAACAAAACCTTCCCACTACCATAAGAATCAACAGCTGGGAACTGTGGGGTAGCGGTTTAGCTGGGAAGTGGGCCGACGATAGGTAGACAAGGCAGGACTTCCCTCACTGCCCCTCTGGGGAGCACCAGTGGAAACAAACCATCAAGCCCAACGATCTTGACTGGGCCAGTGGTAAAGGCCATCACTTTCAGGCTATCGAAGAAAAAGCTTAACAATCTAGCTTCCACTGGACATGCTCTCTCTCTGGATTTTTGTCTCCTAAAAGTTCCAGCTTCTTTGAAGTCTCCTTTGGATGAGTTCACACAGCTAGTGTGGTAAGCCACACTTACCAGTGGGATATTGATCATTTTTTTTACAGGTCTTCATGTGGTATCTGTGTATAATCAGAGTTGAGAGGCACTCTCTCCCCAGCACCTTTGCTACAAAACAGTACAGTCTAGTTACTAGACTCTTGTATATGCAACAGACACATGTCACTATTAATTGACATAATGCAAGGGCATACCCATTTTTAATAAAAGTATCTTTAATTTTTTTTATAACGGGGGGTGGGAAGGGAGTAAAAGGCAGAAAACTGTACTTGAAAAATAATTTTTTAAAAATTTTTTTATTAAATAAAAGGCATGCATAACCGATTCCTTGACCATATGAGATCTGTCCGGAAAAAGTCCAGCCATTGTTAATACAATGAGGACAGTTTCCACAGCACTGATGTCACCTGGCAGCCAAGGAGAGTGGACTGGAACAAGCACGTGTGAACAATGATGACTTCACTGTACTAGTCAGTGGCGGTGGTAGATGCCATTCAGTGAGCATGTGTACTGTGTGGCTGTCACATTCAAAATGACAGCTAGTACAGCAACAAATCTGCATCACATTTTGCATTAAGCTTGAACATTCCTCTGCAGAAACTATTTGGATGATTCAAAAGGCCATAGCTATGGGCAACTGGTGACTGGCAGCTTCATCACGACAATGCACCCACTCACCCATCAAGTCTCATGCAGAGTTTTTTGGCAAATTATCAAATCACCAGGTGACTCAGCTCCCCAAAAACCCAGATTTGATGCCCTGAGAATTCTGGCCTTTCCCAAAACTAAAAGCATTTTTGAAACAAAGAGATTTTGGACCATCAATAAGATTCATGAAAATACAACAGGGCATCTGATGGTAATTCCAACAAAAAATTTTGCAGAGTGTTTTGAACAGGGGAAGACACACTGGGAAAACTGAGTGAAGTCCCAAGGTGCCTACTTTGAAGGGGACTGAGGCATCATTGTCCCATATACAATGTTTCTTGGATCTTGTATCTTCTTCAATGAACGTCTCTATTTTTCGTTTTATGTGGCTGGATACTTTCTGGACAGACTATTTACACACACACACACACACATATGCATATAATAGAGAAAGAAACAATACACAGCAATATACAACTGGCCTATAAACATTATAAATGTGTAACTAGACTAAGTAAATGTATTAATTTTAAATAATGTGGGTATTCTGTAAAACTTAAAAATAAGTTAAACATAATTTTGATTTGCAAAGTAAAACTTTTTAAGACCACTATTGGGTACAAACAAATACAATAAACAGCAGATGAACAATTAATCCTCCATTTTTACTTTACCAGCCCTAAGACTCTGTGAGGAGAATGTGCATCCCCAAAAGCTTCCTAAATGATGTCTGACTGTTATAAGCATAATGCCTTTTTAATAAAACCCTGATGGTAACTATGAGAAAAAATAATGTATACACCACAGACAACATTCTTTCAAATACCTAGTCCACTGAATATACAGACACAATTTAAATATTTTTCTATTAATAATAATATGCTAGTCTATAGATACATTTTAAAATGAAATTATTCATAGTAATGATAACCATTAGCAGCTTTCTATATTCACAGAACCATGATAATAAGTTATTTATGTATATTATCTCAATACCTACAACATGGTGAAACACCTACTACTACTATATACCATTTTATAAAAAAGAAAACTGTGGCTTAGAGAGGCTAAATAATTTGCTCAGGGCTATTCTGTTTACAAGTAGTGGAACCACAGTTGAACTTCTGTCTGCCAAAACTCGGAACCCATGTTCTCAATCAACTGTGGTTAAGTCTCAAAACAACTCTGTAAATGAAAAAGTATCCCTATTGTACAGTTTAAAAACAGTTCAGGACCTCTGGTCAGATGGCAGCATAGGTGAGCACAGCTCGCCTCCTTGGACAACCACACTGAAATTACAACTAAATTACAGAACAACCATCACTCAGAACCAGCAGAAATTGAGTTCAATGGAAGTCTGACAACTGCAGAATTCAAGAAGCCACATCCATCCAGACGGGCAAGTAGGGAAAACATGCAGAATGGGTGGTGCCATACCCACTTGTGGTGGATGAAAATTTGGGAGGGATATCTTGGGAGCAAGGAATCCCAGTCCCACATCAGGCCCTCAAGTCCAGGGTGCCAGTGCAAGGAAGATAAGTCCCCATTACCTCTGGCTGCAAAAACCAGCAGGGATTAAGTTGGTGGACGAAACTTCTGGAGTCCCAAGGAGTTCTTCTTAAAGAATACACACACAGCCCTGGCTGGTGTAGCTCAGTGGATTGAGCGCGGGCCTGCGAACCAGACAATCGCGGTTCGATTCCCAGTCAGGGCACATGCCTGGGTTGCAGGCCGGTTCCCTGCAGGCCAGTTCCCAGCAGGGGACACACAAAAGGCAACCATACATTGATGTTTCTCTCCCTATCTCCTTCCCTTCCCTTCTAAAGATAAATAAATAAAATCTTTAAAAAAAAAAAAAAAGAATACACACACAGACTTACTCAGACTCACTCCCTCTGAGCTCTGGCACCAGGATAGAGGTGTGAAAGGCATTAGTGGCGTACTGGGAGAAACTGAAGTGTCCGGCACTGAGGCAAGAGTTAGGCAACAGCTTTCTTATAGACAGAAAGGTGTGCAAAGGCCACTGTCCATTTTCTGAACCCTCTCCACACAGAGCCACAAAGCTGGCAGGTGGGTGCCAGATTTGAGACTCCATCAACCTGACTAACACTGTTTGCTCCACCCTGGAGATCCCCTGAGGCTCCATCCCAACCAACTTATAGCAGTTAATGATGACTTTTCCATGTGACTGGCTGATCTTGGCTCATGCTTGACAACTTTGTAAATCCTTTCAAACAAGTAAAAGCTGGCCTCAGTGAGCCCTCTGCCCCGTATATCTTGCTAAGTGGCCCCAGGTATAGCACTAACAGCAGCCAGCCTAGATTCACAGCTTAGCTTTGCCTGGGATCTCCAACCCAGTACAAATAGCAGTCATCTCAGATTGCTTTATAGCTTAGGCAGGGTGGCCTTGCGGAAAAATACAGGTTGGGGCTGACCTTGGCCTGCACTGCCAGGGAAACTCCAGAGCCTGCACACACAGTGGACAGCCACAGATCATGTCAGAGCACCCCCACCCTGCCCCCGCACAACTAATCCTCCACAAAGAGCAGAGGTTGGTGGTAAGTGGTTACAGCCAGTACTTGAAGTTGACCGGCCTGGGAAAATCCCTCCCATTGATCCGCCAATAGCAACCAAGGCCCAACTACAGAAGTTGGGTATATTAACCCCGACAAAGGGTGCATCATGGGTACCCAGCTTGGGTGACAGTAGAAGCTGTGCCACTGGAACCTACAGGACACCTACTACACTAGGTGATTCTACCAAAACATGGTGTCATAGTAGCTCTACCTAAAACACAGAAACAAACACAGGGAGGCTGCCAAAATGAAGAGACAAAGAAACATGTCCCAAATGAAAGAACAGATCAAAGCTCCATAAAAAACACCTAAACAAAATGGAGATAAGCAATCTCTCAGATGCAGATTCAAAACACTAGTTACAAGGATGCTCAAGAAACTTAGTGAGGACCTCAACAGCATAAAAAAAATACAGTCAGAAACAAAGGATACATTAATTGAAATAAAGAACAATTTACAGGGAAACAACAGTAGAGTGGATGAAGCCAAGAATCATATCAATGATTTGGAACATAAAGAAGCAAAAAAAACCAATCAGAACAACAAGAAGTAAAAAATATCCAAAAAAAAATGAGGCCAGTGTAAGTAGCCTCTGAGACAATTTCAAGCATTCCAACATTCACACCACAGGGATTCCAGAAGGAGAAGAGAAAGAGCAAGAAATTGGAAACCTACTTGAAAAATAGTGAAAGAAAATGTCCCTAATTTAGTGAAGGAAATAGACACTCAAATCCAGGAGGCACAGGGAGTCCCAAACAAGAATGACTCAAAGAGGCCCACTCCAAGATACATCCTAATTAAAATGCCAAAGGTTAAAGAGAAAGAGATAATCTTTAAAGCAGCAAGAGAAACCAAGTAGTTACCTACAAAGGAGTTCCCATAAGACTGTCAGCTGATTTCTCAAAAGTAACTCTGCAGGCATGAAGTGATTGGCAAGAAATATTCAAAGTCATGAAAAGCAGGGACCTACAGCCAGGACTGTTCTGCCCATCAAAGTTGTCATTAAGAATCAAAGCAGATAAAGAGCTTCCCAGACAAGAAAAAACTAAAGTATTCATCACCAAACCATTATTATATGAACTGTTACAGGGACTTACTTAAGAAAAAGAAGATCAAAACTACGAAAAATAAAATGGTGATACATACGTATCTAACAACAATTGAATCTAAAAAACAAACTAAGCCAACAAGAAGAACAGAGACAGAATCATGGATATGGAGAGCATTTTGATGGTTGCCAGAGAGGGGTGTGGGGAAATAAGTGAAAAGGTGGGGGGACTAAGAAGTACAAACAGGTAGTTACAGAATAGCATGGGGATGTAAAGCACAGTATAGAAAATGGGTCATCCAAAGAACCTATAAGCATGACTCGTGGACATGAACAACGGTGGGGGGGGGGGTACCTGAAGGAGCAGGTAGTGCTGGGTGGAGGGGAGCAAAGGGAGAAAAATTGGGACAACTGTAATACCATAATCAATAAAATATAATTTAAAAAATAAAAATGAGAGTAATAAAATAAAAATGAAGGTTCAAAGAAGAAATAAATGCCCAAGACCATCGAGTCAATATGTACAAAAGAGCTGAAAACTTAGTTTTAGGAACAAAAATGAAAAGTCCAATTAAAGTAGTGATAAGCCACCTGTAAGAGAGCAGACCCCTGACTCGGCCTAGCCTAACAGTGTGTACTTCAACAAAAATCACACAATTTTACCTGGTCACAGAAGTGTTTGCATCTGGCTGAGATGTACGCTTATAACAGATCTCATCCACACACGCGGATCTACTGAACCCTAACAATGGGCTAGGCGCTCTCAAAAGTGAATCAAGAAGATGTGTGAGGAAAATAACTACAGTAACAAAGAAGAGTTGTGTTGGAGCCAAAAAAGGAGTTATAGACTTGGCTAGATCACAAACCTCGTATTTTAAGAGAAAAATAATTATAAAATATTGAGGGAAAAATATAAAGCATTAATAAAAGAATTTTCCATGCTATTTTCTGCTTCTGACAAAATGAAACATGATCTTTAGGAAATATAATACCAAATTTCATCCTAGATATAAAAGTGGAACTCCAAAGGCCAGGTACGAACAAGCACTCTCACTCACATCATGCGCACATACTCAAGGTAGCCACATCTTTGTCCATTGGAACGGATGGAAACATTTTCTCAATTAGCAGGATTTATTATGATGGAAACTCGCATGGTTATATATCTTGGCTGCTGCTGTTAAAAAAGGCTATAAGAGGCGATTTATAGCAGAAATGTGTATAGAAACTGTCAGACAGAACCAGGAAGTCATTGTGTCTGCTGTGTCCGTCCAGCTGACTTTGTGCAACCCTTGTGCGTTGCCTTCTTTCTTGGGCTCTTACAATGGCAATAAGGAGGCAATTAGGAATGATTTAGTCATTCTCAAATATAGTAAATTCCACTAATGAAAGAGAATTCTCCAGCGGTGCCATGCTATCATTTTAAGGCAGCTATTACACATGAAAGGCTAAGAACTTCATGGGACAGAAAGGTGTGTTTACTTATAGCAATAAGTAGTAGTCGGGGGCGGGGATTAACATGAGCAATGCTATCTAGTTTAGCTACAAGACTTTTTCACAATTTATATCGTGTGCCTGAATCATTACGTGTATGTGTCTGAACAATATTGGTAGATCAATACAAAAAAGGGTTCCCCCACACAAAAGTCTATAGATCATTCCTGGAACTGTGCAGGGGTTTTTTTTCTTAAGTGTTTGATTTCTTGCCACTAATGCTTTTCCAGACTCAGAAGTATTAATGAGATAGAGCCTTTGATTGAATAGGAGTGGGAAGACTGGGGAAAGACCACCCTTGTTTCCAGTGGCAAGAAGCCAAAAAAAGTAGCTTAGGAAACTGTTAAGAGACTGGGCTCCCTTCAACTCCCACCACGGACCCCACAGTAGGGCTGCCCGCTGGGCCCAGGGTGAGTGAGCACAGTTGCTGAAGCCTGGCACCCTGTCAAGCTTCTCTGAGGACAGCAACCCAGAACCTAAGAAAGTGTGGAGCCCAGGCCAAGCTCTGACTAAGTGAATCGCCAAGATCCACAACCTTTCCCGGCTCCACAGACTGGGCAGTGATAAATATTTTCAGCTTAATAGTGTGCTGACTGATTACCACACTTTAATCTAAATGCCCTAAGAGGGTTCTACATTTGAGTTCTAGTCTAAAATTTTACAACAACAGGACCAAAACTTTTAACCAAAACCACATTGTTCATACTCTATTTTTTTTTTTGCACTATCAATTTGTCACTACACTACTTTGTGGCTTCTTCATTTAATATGTTCTTGCTATAAATACACCCCTAAAAAGCTAATATTATGGCAGATAGATGACTGGAAATTCTTTCCCAACCCACATATAATGATAGATGGAAGATATTATTAGCATTCACATAATTCCCCAGTATATATACGATGCTTCCATCAACTGGTTGGTCTGTGCTGATGACACACCTCAGCATAATTTAATGTTAATTTTGCATCCAGAAAAAAGACCCTGGATCATGCAACACATTTAAATAAGAAAAAGTCACAACAATTGTTTATATTATCTGCACATTGCTATGAATGCAATGATTAGTTTTATATTTGTAGAAAACAATGAAGGTTATTGATTCACCCCCTGAGGCTGAGGAAATGGTAGAAATGTCAAGTGTTTATCTGACATTTCCAAAGGCTACTTATAGGATGACAACAGTGACAAATGTGACGAAACGTATAATATTGTTTGCATGTTACAGTCTGGAACCGTGGCACAATACCTTCACTGTGACTGAAGGGACGAGGTCAGTTCCCACTTCAGCGTCAGGAGCTTGCTGTAAATGCACAGAAGAAGGACAGGAAACAAGGAGTGAAAACCCGGGTGCAATCTGTACCTCTCACCACCAAAGGTGGAAACAACCATAAGGGATTTATCACCCTAATGACAGACTCAGAGAGTCAGTGTGACTTTATAACGTCTTCATCTAGAAAGTCATGAGCTAATATTCAGATATCCACCCTCCCGCCCCCCCAAAAGTCACATATTTTATTATCAAGCTACTCCATTGCCAAATTTACTTAAATGTTGAAACTAATTAATTCTAGTAACACATCCTTTATATTATACAGAAGAAGGCCAGCCAGCATTTCTCAGATAAATATTATGCCACTCTTTTAGGCCATTTTATTTTTAACTAGGCAAAGAAATGTTTTATTCTGACTAATGGTATGAAGATGTAACTAAAACACACAACCCACAATATAAATATTGAGCACCCTCACCCCTAGAAAATAGAATAAAGGCAGGAGTGAGATTTTTTTTCCCACTAGCTCATATCATAAACTAGTTTACTCTTTGAGCATCAGTCCAGGCTACCTAGTTCTACCTATCAAAGAATTCAGAGTATAATATTATAGAGCAAACATTTCCTTACAATTTATAACTCATCTTTCAGAATGGTAGATTGAGAGAAAAATTCTCACTCTGTGACAGAATCAAATGAAGGGGTAACATATTTTCTAGTAATACCCAAATGAATACCTGGGGAACAACTCAGGTTCTAAAATCTCTATCCAGCCAATGAATAGACCCACTGTACTTTAACTTAACCCATTTGAAATGTTTTCACCAGGAAAAATTAAGCCACATCTAAGCAATGGAGACTGCTATGATATAATGGGCACCAGCACAGTCAAGAGTTAGGAGATTCAAATTCTATTTATGACTCCCTACGAAATCGCATATGAACTCGAATCCAACTTCTCATGCAGGAGGATAAGACAGCAATGCTTGCCTCCTCGCTAAAAGACCCCATTCTAATATAAATTATATTATTTTTAGATGTGTGCTTTCATATTAATTGATTCAAAATAAAATGTTAAGCCAGGCTTTCTGCTCTAGTATTACTTTAAATCCAGGAAATGCTTTACTTTAGCTGTCCAAAGATGTAGAAAAGACACATCATCTGTTTCCTGCTCTTTTCCACCCATTGGCTAAACACCTAGGGACTTTGAGGACAGTGGTTCTTTGGGAAATAAAAGTGCAGCCAGAGAGAAATGGCTACACAGAGACACATGGCTATACCAGAGCCACATGAGTCGCTGGTCTCATGTTTTCCAGTGGAATGAAGGCTACACTCTCAAGACTCTCTTAAGAAGGAAAAAATAGTGAGAGGGGAAAAGGAAGCTGGAAAGAGACACCTAGTTGAAAGGAAATAGCACTCCAGGTTGCCAACAGGCAAACATACATTACAATATAGCACTATTCCACAAGCCTTTTCCTATGAAGATCAAAAGTTGCTAGAGAACAGAAAGGGAATTTCTCATTCCAAAAAGCCTATGTTTAAGAGAACCTAAAAAAAAATTATATAAGTGGTCCAGAGGAAAAAAAGAATCATTTCCAAGGCAAGAAAATGTGTGTACATCTGTCAGCTAATGGAGCAGCAATGTTCCACTTGGACTACGCCCTTCAGGTAGAGTGAGAAATGGCATGTGCTGAGTGGACAATGTGTCAAACAGCGGCTCTACCGTGCGGCCCGGCTGGTGGATGCTTCTTTCACACACACTCCTATTTTTGTACGTGTACCCAACTGTCTATACCACGGACATGGTGACATGACTCTTATCACAACTGGGGTTTACACTAAAATTAATCTCTGAACATTTATGACAACTACTTACTATATTATGCTGATACCTAGATATTAAAACCACTTCCTTAGCAAAATTACATGACGTGAACTCCAACTACAGTAAAAGCAGTGAATTAGATCACTTGTCTTAATTGATCAGTCTTTGGTAGGAACACAGATAAACACATAGATTTTGCCCAAACAGCAGGCAGTGAGACACGACCGGTCAAAATCTGACAAGTGCTTACAGAAGACTGAACAAAGAAATGGGGCAACAGAACCAAGGACAACGCCCCTTTCATCCTTCCTGTTTCTCAGCTTCATTCATTCATTTGTGGAGCAAGTATATATTGAGCACCTGTATGTGACAGGCACTAAGGTAATGGTAGTGAAGGACACAGGTAGCAAAATGTAGGTGGTGGCGGTAGTGGTGCTGATGGTGCTGATGCTATGAGGCTGGGAGAACTAAAATGACATTTGATGATGATGATGATGCTAGTTAATCATCATAACAATTCAACCAAAGAGATTCTACTATCATTCTCATTTTCCAGATGAGAAAATTGAGACTAAGAAAACTAAATGCCTCACCCTGGGACACATGGACAGAAACAGAGGGAAAAAATGATCCCTGGCCCAACCGTTCACACTTAATCTCCTCCCCCTTCACAACCACTGTAATGTGTTAAAGACTGCAAACTAGCAAACCCTGAGTTAGGCCTTTCGTGAACATAACCTCACTGAACCTTCAACAAAAGTCTTGTGGGGTCGGTGCTATGAATCTAGATTAGAATTATCTCAATATTCTGGTACTGAAAAGTTAAACTTAAAAAGAATAGAATCAGAATAATGGGAAGAATCCCTTCTACTGTTCTGCCTCCCCTTTGGGGGACAGAAATCTGCCTAAGGAACTCCTTGCTACACTAAGAGGCTATAAATATTTATTTCTAGAAAATAACAAAGATTAAAAGTTGTTATCCTCCCTCCCTAAAATTTCTTTTTGAAGGCAGATGATTTAAACCAATACATTTTGGTCCCAATTCACTCAAGTCCACTATAATCACAAACCCTTTCAAAGTCTGCAAATACACTTACAGACACAGAGTCCAAGTTAGGAGAAACCAAGACAGAAATTTTCAAGTCATCTTCCCTCTCAGTCACGGGCCAGACACCTGTAATTTGAAAAAAGAAAAAGAAAAGATGTTTAATCATAAAGTAAAACCTGCTGTATAGTTAAGGGTTATCTATACTATGAGTCAAAAAACAACCCTATACCCATACAAGGTTAAAAAATTAATACACTGCAGAATTAGAAGCTTGATGTTAATTCTGTCCCCTCTGCCATACTTCAAAGAAAAAATGTCTCTTCCCCCAAAGATATTAGCTAAGATGGGACCCACTGACTGACCAGTATTGGGAATTTTGATGCCTTCTCCTTAACTGCTGCCAGGAGCCCAAATCAGTACAATCCTTCTGAAGGGAAGTACTTTTGAAGGCAAGTCATTCTACAGCTGGGGAGCAGATCTGTCAGGTCGCAAGATCTGTACAGTTTACACTGTGACAGTCACAGCCAGTTCACGGACATGCCCAGGAAATCCTCTGCTGCTCGTACTTATTAAAAACAAAAACAAAACAACCTGAACCTCTATATTTCTGTTAACAGGGAAACGGTTAACTAAATTATGGTATAACTGTGCTGTGCAATGGTCTAAGCTATAAGTAAACTATAAATAAGAGTGCTGTCCATCTTTACATACTGATAAGAAAAAACTCCAAGATATTCCTATTAATAAAAAAGCAAAGTGCAGCCCTGGCTGGTGTAGCTCAGTGGATTGAGCGCGGGCCTGCGAACTACACAATCGTGGTTCAATTCCCAGTCAGGGCACGTGCCTGGGTTGCAGGCCAGTTCCCAGCAGGGGACTCACAAGAGGCAACCATATATTGATATTTCTCTCCTTCTCTCCTTATCTTCCCCTCTAAAAATAAATGAATAAAATCTTTAAAAAAAAGCAAGGTGCAGAAGAGGCAGCATAATGTGTCTGATATGTAATTACATAACCATGAACATTTCCTTAAAGAATACACAAACACTCCTGATACAGGTTCCCTGTAAACAACCTTGCAGAGCAGAATCTACAGTTTGTCCTTTAGTACTGTTTGAATTCTTTTCACCACATTCATGTCAGTGTCACAACTTAAAATTTCACAATTTAAAAAATGTTTATGGTGAGTAAGATATTATGAACAAGTGACAGAGATCCTAAATAAGCAATAAACATAAATAACAGTCACACAATAGGTGTGTGTGCGTGCGCAAAGGAGGTTTGTCCAGGAAGAATCCAGCCACATAAGATGAAAAGATAGAGATGTTTATTAAAGAAGATACAAGAAACATTGTACACAGGACATTGACACCTCAGTCTCCTTCAAAGCAGGCACTCTGGAACCTCACACACCTCTACCAGCATTCTGACCTTGAGGAAGTCAGGTTCATTGGTAGCAGTTTGAATTGAAGTCATTGGCAACTGTAGCACGATGTACCCCCCTGCTCTGGTAGCAGAAGCTGCAAAACGAATTTTGGCACAACACATTTCGTGCCAAGATCCTGCATCAAAATCTCAGACACAGAAGATTTTAGAATCCCCAGATCAGCTTCTAGTTCTTGCACTGTCAGATTGCAGCCCATACACATTGAACGTTCTCAGGTGTGCTGCTTGTTGCAGGCCTTCCAGAATGTGAATCACTTTCAATAGATTCTCAACCATCTTTGAAGAGATTGTACCACACTCTTATCTGTGCCGCACTCATTGCATCATCCCTAAAAGCCTCCTGAATCATCCAAATAGTTTCTGCGGAGGAATGTTCCAGCTAAATGCAAAATCTGATGCAGATCCGTTGCTCTGCTTGCTCAGTCATTTTGAATACATCGGCCACACAGTACACATGCTCACTCAACAGCATCTACAACCCCCACTGACTAGTACAGTGAAGTCATCATTGTTCACGCATGTGCATTCCAGTCCACTCTCCTTGGTTGCCAGATTATATCGATGTCGCGCAAACTGTTCTCCTTATATTAACAGTGGCTGGACTTTTTCTAGAGAGGTGTGTGTGTGTGTGTGTGTGTGTGTGTGTGTGTGTGTGTGAGAGAGAGAGAGAGAGAGAGAGAGACTGTTGGTTGCCCACACAACATCCACCTTCACCCCTCCTTCATTGTGGCTGAGCCCTAATTCTGTCAAGACACCCACCTTCATCTCAAAGTCACTGGATTGATTGACTCCAATCACGGTGACTTCACTGCCCTGACCATTTGTTGTTTCAGGCACGAGCACATGATTCATCCAGGCAGATGTGAGGGAAGAAAAGTTGGGTGCAGGGTGGGATGCTGGCACTTGCTTCTGGGAAAGCCAAACCTTAATAAAAGAGGGGACTCAAGAGAACTGTCTCTTCTTCTCTGGCAATCGAATTTGCACATAATGCCTCAGCCTGCTGAGGTCACCCTTGACTCTCAGAGGAACCATTGCCCACACGCTGAGGGTGGTGGGCTGAGAAGATGGAAAGCACGGGGTACGTCACGGGAGAAGCAGCTGTCTGAGGGGGAGAAGACCTGCCCACCATTGCCATCAGGTGTGCCCTCCAACACTGCAATATATGTGATAGGAATTTCCAGAACTTCCTTAGTGAGAGTGCAGAAGGCTGCTCATCACCCACCCAATCACCGTTCCTCAGTTCTTTTTTACTAAAAGAAGCCCAGTTTTATTCTGTGCAACAAAGTGCTCAGCTTAAGCCCTAAATTTCCCAGCCTCTTTCGCAGCCTACAGTAGCCAGTGAGATGGGGGCGGAAGCTGTCCAGGGTGTGGTGTCCAGGAAAGCTCCTTACGGAGGCTGACTCAGCTGCAGACGTGAGGGCAGGAGTTCCAGAAGCCATCCCGGACCAACAGATGGCTCTGGGAGAAAAGGAACCGCAGTCCCCCATCACAGGGGAGCTGCCAGACCAAGCCTGGTCTGACCACCGAGGGCCTTCTCTTCCACGGAAGAGAAGCGTAAGCCACTTTAGCTGGGTATTCTGTTACATACAGCCCCACAGAACCCTTCCGACAAGGCCTCCAAGTACAAATGATGCCAGTACTCGGTCGTGGCGGCAGCTGAGTTATCCTGGACATATTTCACCTGGGATGCAGACTCCTGATAACATCCCGTGTCTCACTGCTGTCTGTCCCTTCTTGAAGGCACTGCTGTGCAGGAGGCTCAGTATCGTGCCCATTCCTTCAGACTCACCCCGAGTAGGGAACATGACCGTCTGTGCCACAAGGAAACTCCACCTCTGAAAGTGCCTACCAACAGGCATTGCTGACTACTGGTAACAGAAATGCCAGGCAGGGTTCACACTAGTGAGTTGAGTACGAAAGCTTCAGAATCCATGAGCCGTTCTGAAATTATTACTGTAATTTCATACTTACAGCATGCATTCCTCATTACACACAGAAAATGGGGTTCAAAACACTTTTATTACAGTAGATAATATACACCATGTGTACAACAAAACGTACTCTTTAAATGGGCTTTAAATTTTGCTGCAACGCTTACTTTGAAGAAATAAAAAAAAAGCTTTAAATACTGAACATAACCCACAAGACTGTGAAATTTTTTTGTAACCTGAAATTGCTATACTAAAATAAGTGGCATTTAAATGAATAATGAGGTCATCAAAAAGTTCAGAGTTTTAACTTTTCATAATCTTCTATACTGAAACAATTTGGTGCTTTCACATAATTACAGGTATTTTAATGAAAAAATATACCACAGTTTTATAAGAGTACAGAATACTAATTTTTTTCCATATCCAGAAATAAAGTATTTTAAAAGTCTCTCTTTCTAAAGAAGGTTCTCTTTGTTTCTTTTTCAAGAATAGAACCAAATGACGGCAGAGAAAGGGCAGAGAACTTCAAATATCAACTAAAACCCAAGGTTACATAAATAATGAACTTTGCACCCAAGTCCGTGGGCACATCCCTAACCTAATTAGCAATTATTTCAATTACACAGAAGGGTCAAGGCGATGACAAGGAAAACAACCTAACCTCCTCACCCAAGGGCATCGCCATGGTCACTGAAAAATAACCTTTAGCTGCGAGGGATTTTTCTGAGAAACGTTTTACACAATTAAGTGTTAATCAAAATATCATTAGCACATTGTTTATGGAAAAAGCAAAATCTCAAGACCAAATCTGGAGTGAAAAGTCACATTAAATTTATTTAATGAACTCTAGAAATTTCATGTTTCACATATATGTCACTCTTTCCCAATTATATTTTTAAATGACAAAGTGAGACTTATAATTCCAATAATCCCAAAAACACTAGTATCAGAAAATGGGGGGAAAATGTACCTTGCAATGAGACAAGTTCAAGTTTAACCATTCTCTGCTTGACAGGGCACTGCTGACAACAAATACTTTTTTAACTCATCAGAGATACCACTTAAAGGACCTAAGTTTCACTGGTTTACTTTCAAAACTTTCTAAGAGAAGGTGTGAAGCCAGAGAATAATTATTTTTTAATACTCATATTTTGATATATATTATCTAATATCTTCTGAATCTGTCTTGGTAATATAGACTCAAAAATACATGAATTTTGTAAGATGATTGGACCAGGACTAAGACTGGCTCTGCTGTTTTCATTGGCTTTTGATGCTCTGCTTCTTTTATTATTCCTACTTGTTTTAACGTTTCTTTTATGTGAAAATAGTCCATATTTTTTCTCATTAAAAAAATACTTTTACCTGACCCTCAGAAGGAAACTTAAAGTAATGCTTTTCACATGTCCAACTCAAACTTCAGGATTGGTGTTTTGTTTCTCCTTTTCATTTACAATAAAATTATACCCCTGTGAATCCCAACGTAAGATAATACTGAGTTATCCAAAACTCAGGAACTGAAAATATCATCAGCCTCTGAGTCATTAGAAATCAGCATACCACAGGCTACTCTCCATTTGGATGGCTAATTAACTACAAACGTAAATTATATTACTAACCTGTAAATGACCACATTTTTAGTAACAAAGTAGCAACTCATGGGCTGCTTTGGTTTCTTTTAAAAGAAGCAACTACTTTTTTTCTGGTATACTAGAAGTTAATAAACGACCACTCTGAGCTTTAATGCTCTTATCAAGGCCTGAAGCCACTACTCAAAGAAGTTCTTGTGGTTTTTTTAAGAGTACAAAGAAAGAGACTCAATAGCACTATCCCTGCAAAAGGGACACTGGCAAAACCAATATCTGAAATAGGACATATTTTTCAGAAGCTACAAAATACAGACTAAGCACAAAGTGCTTGTGTGCTAAAGAGCTACACAGCTTTTTCAACTATGACTTTAATTAAGCCTGGAGGAGAAAATTAATTCATATGTACACATTACCCATATACAAAATAATGTAAATTCTACTATGAACAGTAAAACCAAATAATAAAAAGCTTCAAATGAGATACCTTGTGATTTGTTAACATCTCTGATGATTTTCTGAAGTTCTTTCAACTCTATGTCAAGTGCATCATAGTTTAGTTCTCTAGATTCAACCTTCGGAGCTTGGAACAAAGAAGGGTCTGTCCCCAGGTATGAACACTGCAAGTGACCATCATCACTCAGAGTGACAATCACTCCCTTTAAATCACTACAATAAAGAAGAGAAAAGATGACGTAAGTAAATTTTTCAGTGGGTTTAGACTTGAACAACTACATTTTTATTCAATTAAGCTTCAATATATCATTAAGAAAATAACTATGTATCCATTTCTAAAGTTCTACATCATACTCTCAACTCAAATGTTTAAAACATGATTTATATTTATAGAAGTATTCCCGATGTTCTGATTTATCACAGGAGAAAAAACACACTTTAACAATTATTATAACAGCTGCCATTTTGGGGACCTAACTACACGGCAAACTAGGCTTTAAGAGCTTTTCTATTATCGTATCTTTTTTTCTTTAATTTTTATTGTATTTTTTCCATTACCATTTAGTTCCCATATGCTCCTCCCCCCCAGCAATCCCCACACTGCTGTCCATGTCCATGAGTCCTTTTCCCTTTTTGCTCAGTCTCTCCACCCTCTCTCCTCCCCACCTGCCACCCACTGGCTGTCATCTGCTCTCCACCTATGAGTCTGTCTCTGTTTTGCTTCTTAGTTCAGTCTTGTTTCTTTAGATTCCACATGTAAGTGAGATCATATAGTATTTGCCTTTCCCTGACTGGCTTATTTCACTTAGTGTAATGTTCTCCAGGTCCATCCATATTGTCATGAAAGGTTTTCTCCTTTTTTTACAGCCGAGTAGTATTCCATTGTTCAAGTACTGGATCTTTTCATCCTCACTCCGGCACCCACGTGGCAGATTCATACTGAGCATGTGCACAACACCTGTGGAGCCACAGTGGCTCCAGAGCTGGGCTGCGGCCAGCTGAAAGCCAGGGCGAGGCACGGGAGCAAAGGCAGGACTGTGAAGGGGAATGGTGAGGAGGGTGGTGGAGTGAACCCCAGGAGGGTATGAACAGAAATGCACTTCCTTGCCCTGGCTGGTGTAGCTCAGTGGATTGAGCACGGGCCTGCGAACCAGACAATCGTAGTTTGATTCCCAGTCAGGGCACATGCCTGGGTTGCAGGCCAGTTCCCTGCAGGCCAGTTCCCTGCAGGCCAGTTCCCAGCAGGGGACGCACAAAAGGCAACCATACATTGATGTTTCTTCTCCTCTCTCCTTCCCTTTCCCTCTAAAGATAAATAAATAAAAATCTTTATAAAAAAAAAAGGAATGCACCTCCTTCCCCAGGGCCACCGACCACTTCCCTCACACACACTCCTTCCCTTCCCTCTTAGATGGAAGCACCCCATTTTCTCATTCCGTAGCTTTTCCTCCACCAGCTGTTTGTCCTGATGATCTCTTTTTCCTCCCCATCCTTCCACTCTTCCTTCTCTTAGACTCCCTGAAATCTGTTCTACTCTAGAATCTCACCATAACACATAAATCAAAATTTTAGCCTACACTTTTAAAAAATAGAAGTTGTAAGTTTTGTTGAGTGTGCTATAAACAGTAGTTGAAATGAACACTATTTGCTTCCTCCATAGTTTTCCTAGAAGAAAAAAAAAACTCAACATTGTCATAAGTCATTCTGAGCTGATACGTAATGAATTTATTTGACGTTTGTATAGTTTCCAGTGACAACTGATTTACAAAGAAAAAGGGTTACCAACTCTGTTCTAAAAGTTAAATGTTAATGAAAATCATGAACATAATTTAGAGAAAAAGATTTTTTTTTTAATTCTTGCTGTTCATCTGAAGAAAAAGGGTAAGTTATATTAGGGTCTAGGCCTTATTCGGAATAAATAAGAATTCTTAAAACTCCCCAAAACTGAGTCACAGAAAGTGGTGAACTCATGAGCTGACACCACGGAGAGTCGACACCACATTGTCCCAGCCTTCCCATCAGGCGGTCCAGCACCCCTTTACTGCCTGCCGTCACCATGACGTCCATACACACTTTCTCCAGAGCTCAGGCGCACTCTGCGCCACCTCGCCCTGTGGTGTAACTTCAGAGAAATAGAAAAGGGATTTACATCACTGACTCAACAGCTAAAGAACGACACTCGGAGTGGATTGGGGACTTGGCTTCTAACTAACCCTGCCACTAGATACTGAGCCAATTTAGAGAAGCCTGCCTAAAAGTTCTTAATCTCCAAAGTGAGAAGGTAAGACTAGAGGACCCTCAAAGGTCTAATTTTTATGAATTGGTTCTGTCAATCTACCTCAGAAAACAAATACTCCCCCAAATGAAATTATGTTCTTGAAATAAAGTGTGAAGAGCAACACCACAGTACCTGGGGGCTTGGCCCTTTCTTTGCAGGCAACTGAAGCCACCTAGTGGTTATGGAAATGCTAACCTCCAGCTCAGACAAGCCCATTTCAAGAGGGCAAACCCCCTGCCCCTCGGAGTGGTCACTGTGCTGGGTTCCCCATTCCACGCAGCCCCACACGGGTCTAGGGACCCAATGATATGAATCCTCAGGACACTCCGGGACACTAGGGGCAGGTCTTTGGCCAGCTACTTGGGAAGCAGGGATCAATAGTCCTTTGAATCCAGAAGGGTTTTTCCACTTTGTCTTCACCCTCTGAGTGCTCCACAACACAGGAAACCTTGCACACCTAATCCCAGTACCTTCACTTCCCAAATTCATTGGGTCATTGAGTTGGATAGCTTATTACTGAAGCAATTTTGTCCTACTGTTTTAGATAGCACAGCAACAAAGGACTTATCTAAAAATTTATCTGAATCTATTAAGTTTCTGAGTTCAAAAAGGAAGACTTTGAACAGAAATACATACACTCAAAAATACTCTTTACTGGTGCTCGAGGTACCCAAATGGAAAAGGGGAGGAGCCAGAGTCCCCCCCCTCACTGCAAGGACTCACTGGATGTGAACAACATAAGAACCACTGCATATAAGTTAAATCACAGAATGCAGACTAGAGATGAACCCATTTATGCTGCACACTTTACCCCACAGTGACACTGCAACGAGCCCCACCAACTCCAGAAAGAGTCCATGGGCCTTGTGTCTGAAACCGTGTGCGGAAAGGGCACCTCAACCCAGGCCTGCAGTGCCGCTTAGTGAGTCATGTCATCTCCTGGAATCTTGTGCAAGGGGCAAACTTTAAAATATATCATCTTTAAAGTAAGGCCCAACTTAAGTATAAAGAGGAAAAGTAAAACATTCTTAAGATTGTTAAGTCTTTCTACTTAAAGAACATTCATTTAACAGTACTGTCCATACGAGTTAATGTGGTAGGTTCTATGAACGACAAAATTTTCTGCTGCAAGAAGCTATCAAGCAGATCAAGTACTGTGCACCACACTACTTATATCATGAAAGTAGAGTTCACACTGCCAAAATTAAGGTCTCTGGATTGTTGCTGGTCCTCGAAGCACACCGGCTAACCCAAGACACCACTATTTCATGAAGAACCGAGGTCAAAGATGTTACATGCACAGGACACATAATAATTCTGTGATTTTTTGCAATGAGACATGACATTCAACAATAGTGGTTGCTCAGGAATCTGAAAGTAATTGTTTCATCACTCAGTAAACAGATCCCTGCCTTAATAATACATTCAAACAAAACTCCAGATGGATTTTAAAAGTTAAATTTAAAAATATGAAACTGCAAAAATATTTATCTGCCCTTGGGATGGAAAGAACTTTCGCTGCAAGAAAGCTATAGTGGAAACTACAAAGGAAAAGATCTCTAGACCAAACCACAATAATAATTTAAACTTGTTATATGCTTTAAAAAACAACGTCGTAAAAAGAACAAAAGGCAAACTGGGAAAACATTGGCAACCAACATAAAATACACAATTTAAGTTAAACAGTACGAAGTTAAGAATATTCAACTGTTTTTGACCTATAAAATCAATTTGAAGCATTTCAGGTAATATGTAAAGAACTCTTACAAAACAATATAAGATTATATCTGAAAATAAAAAGTCAAAAGACATGTACGATTCACATTAAAAATAAGTCAATAAATGGATTTTTTAAATTCCAAAATCAATAAAAATATATATATATTTAAAGCTATATTTGATTATTTAATACCTCAAACTAGCAAAAATTGTATTTAAAAAATCAGCCCTGCCTTACAGAAGGTACCTGGAGACAGAAACTCACACACTTTGAATGGAGATATAAATTTGTTAAAAATCCTTTCAGAGAACATTTTAGAAATATATATCAAAAGCCTTAAAAATGCTCATTGTATTTTATACAGTAACCTACTTTCACAGTTATTAAGAAAATTTAAAAAAAAACCAAATGGTAGGAAAAAGGGGAAATATTTTTTTAATCATGACATAGCTATAATAGAATGTTTAGAGCCAATAAAAATCACATCTTACAAAATATCTATCAGAAAAACATAATTAAAAAATAAATATTAGGTGGAAAAGCCAAACACTACTGTGTAAACATTTTATCCTAATTTCATAAAATAGGGGTATAACACACAGACCAGAAAAAAAAATCTGAATGCTAATGGAATGGTGACTATCTCTGGTTAGTGAGATTGCGAGCTATTTTTGATCATGTTTTATAGTTCTTACAAAGAAGCAAGATTAAAAAGAAAACTATTTTCTTTTCATAAGAAAGAAAATATGTTCCATTTTCCATCCCCAGATACTGAATCTGAATCATGCACTTAGAGTTTAAATAATCTGCAGCACTAAAATGTTTGTCTAATTCGCTTTTTCTGACAAGGCCAAGCTATAAAATGTATAACCTGAAAATACTTGAAATATAGCTCACAAGAGACTTTAAAAAATGAACAGTTTCTTTTGTTTGTTAATACAATGAAACAAATGAGCAATTGTTTTAAAAATAAATGAAAAAATGCACTCAAATCAAATGTCCTCTTGCTCAACTGCTTTTTACACAAAATAGAAATATTTTAGGTCAAATTGTAAGTTTGGATTTTATTATTATATATCCATATGCCAAAACTCTTGAAAACTTAAACACTATTTATTTCACACAATTTTTACTCTGCCTCAAAAAGAAGCACACGATTTCAAGGCCCTTTCCTTAAGCCTCCTCTCAGCCCCAACACTCAGGGCTTGGTCACTT